GAGGGTGTGTGTGAGGGTGCGTGTGAGGGTGTGTGTGTGAGGGTGTGTGTGAGGGTGTGTGTGTGTGTGTGAGGGTGTGTGTGAGGGTGTGTGTGAGGGTGTGTGTGAGGGTGTGTGTGAGGGTGTGTGTGAGGGTGTGTGTGTGGGTGTGTGTGAGGGTGTGTGTTTGTGTGTGTGTGAGGGTGTGTGGGTGTGTGTGTGAGGGTGTGTGTGAGGGTGTCTGGGGGTGTGTCTGGGGGTGTGTGTGAGGGTGTGTGTGAGGGTGTGTGTGAGGTGTGTGTGTGTGTGTGGGTGTGTGTGTGGGTGTGTGTGAGTGTGTGTGTGGGTGTGTGTGAGGGTGAGTGTGAGGGTGTGTGTGTGAGGGTGTGTGTGAGGGTGTGTGTGAGGGTGTGTGTGTGAGGGTGTGTGTGAGGGTGTGTGTGAGGGTGTGTGTGTGTGAGGGTGTGTGTGGGGGTGTGTGTGGGGTGTGTGTGTGTGAGGGTGTGTGTGAGGGTGTGTGTGAGGGTGTGTGTGAGGGTGTGTGAGGGTGTGTGTGAGGGTGTGTGTGTGAGGGTGTGTGTGTGTGTGTGTGTGAGGGTGTGTGTGAGGGTGTGTGAGGGTGTGTGTGAGGGTGTGTGTGGGTGTGTGTGAGGGTGTGTGTGAGGGTGTGTGTGTGTGTGAGGGTGTGTGTGGGTGTGTGTGAGGGTGTGTGTGAGGGTGTGTGTGTGTGTGAGGGTGTGTGTGGGTGTGTGTGAGGGTGTGTGTGAGGGTGTGTGTGTGGGTGTGTGTGAGGGTGTGTGAGGGTGTGTGTGAGGGTGTGTGGGTGTGTGTGGGTGTGTGTGAGGGTGTGTGTGTGGGTGTGTGTGAGGGTGTGTGAGGGTGTGTGTGAGGGTGTGTGGGTGTGTGTGGGTGTGTGTGAGTGTGTGTGGGTGTGTGTGTGGGTGTGTGTGAGGGTGTGTGTGAGGGTGTGTGTGAGGGTGTGTGTGAGGGTGTGTGGGGGGGGGGGGTGTGTGTGGGGGGTGTGGGGGGGTGTGGGGGTGTGTGAGGGTGTGTGTGTGGGTGTGTGGGGGGGTGAGGGTGTGTGTGTGGGTGTGTGCGAGGGTGTGTGTGAGGGTGTGTGTGAGGTGTGTGTGTGGGTGTGTGTGTGGGTGTGTGTGGGTGTGTGTGAGGGTGTGTGAGGGTGTGTGTGAGGTGTGTGTGAGGGTGTGTGTGTGTGTGAGGGTGTGTGTGGGTGTGTGTGTGGGTGTGTGTGAGGGTGTGTGTGTGTGTGTGTGGGTGTGTGAGGGTGTGTGTGGGGGTGTGTGTGTGAGGGTGTGTGTGGGTGTGTGTGAGGGTGTGTGTGAGGGTGTGTGTGTGGGTGTGTGTGAGGGTGTGTGAGGGTGTGTGTGAGGGTGTGTGGGTGTGTGTGGGTGTGTGTGAGGGTGTGTGTGAGGGTGTGTGTGTGGGTGTGTGTGAGGGTGTGTGAGGGTGTGTGTGAGGGTGTGTGGGTGTGTGTGGGTGTGTGTGAGGGTGTGTGTGGGTGTGTGTGTGGGTGTGTGTGAGGGTGTGTGTGAGGGTGTGTGTGAGGGTGTGTGTGAGGGTGTGTGGGGGGGTGTGTGTGGGGGTGTGTGGGGGGGTGTGGGGGGGGTGTGTGAGGGTGTGTGTGTGGGTGTGTGGGCGGGTGAGGGTGTGTGTGAGGGTGTGTGTGAGGGTGTGTGTGTGGGTGTGTGTGTGGGTGTGTGTGAGGGTGTGTGTGAGGGTGTGTGTGAGGGTGTGTTGAGAGGGTGTGTGTGAGGGTGTGTGTGTGTGTGAGGGTGTGTGTGGGTGTGTGTGTGGGTGTGTGTGAGGGTGTGTGTGTGTGTGTGGGTGTGTGTGAGGGTGTGTGTGAGGGTGTGTGTGAGGGTGTGTGTGAGGGTGTGTGTGAGGGTGTGTGTGTGGGTGTGTGTGTGGGTGTGTGTGAGGTGTGTGTGAGGGTGTGTGTGAGGGTGTGTGTGTGTGAGGGTGTGTGTGAGGGTGTGTGTGAGGGTGTGTGTGTGGGTGGGTGTGAGGGTGTGTGTGAGGGTGTGTGTGTGTGAGGGTGTGTGTGTGAGGGTGTGTGTGAGGGTGTGTGTGAGGGTGTGAGGGTGTGTGTGTGTGAGGGTGTGTGTGGGGGTGTGTGTGTGTGAGGGTGTGTGTGTGTGGGTGTGTGTGAGGGTGTGTGTGTGGGTATGTGAGGGTGTGTGTGAGGTGTGTGTGAGGGTGTGTGGGGGTGTGTGTGTGTGAGGGTGTGTGTGTGAGGGTGTGTGTGTGAGGGTGTGTGTGAGGGTGTGTGTGAGGGTGTGTGTGAGGGTGTGTGTGGGGGTGTGTGTGGGGGTGTGTGTGAGGGTGTGTGTGTGGGTGTGTGTGTGTGTGAGGGTGTGTGTGTGTGTGTGGGTGTGTGTGAGGGTGTGTGTGAGGGTGTGTGTGTGTGAGGGTGTGTGGTGTGTGTGAGGTGTGTGTGTGAGGGTGTGTGAGGGTGTGTGTGTGTGAGGGTGTGTGTGGGTGTGTGTGTGAGGGTGTGTGTGTGAGGGTGTGTGAGGGTGTGTGTGAGGGTGTGTGTGAGGGTGTGTGTGAGGGTGTGTGTGAGGGTGTGTGTGAGGGTGTGTGTGTGAGGGTGTGTGAGGGTGTGTGTGTGGGTGTGAGGGTGTGTGTGTGTGTGGGTGTGTGTGAGGGTGTGTGTGTGGGTGTGTGTGGGTGTGTGTGTGGGTGTGTGTGGGTGTGTGTGGGTGTGTGTGAGGGTGTGTGAGGGTGTGTGTGAGGGTGTGTGAGGGTGTGAGGTGTGTGTGAGGGTGTGTGAGGGTGTGTGAGGGTGTGTGTGAGGGTGTGTGTGGTGTGTGTGAGGGTGTGTGTGAGGGTGTGTGTGGGGGTGTGTGAGGGTGTGTGGGGGTGTGTGTGGGTGTGTGTGAGGGTGTGTGTGAGGGTGTGTGTGTGTGAGGGTGTGGGTGTGTGTGAGGGTGTGTGTGTGTGTGTGTGTGTGAGGGTGTGTGTGAGGGTGTGTGTGAGGGTGTGTGAGGGTGTGTGTGAGGGTGTGTGTGTGGGTGTGTGTGAGGGTGTGTGTGAGGGTGTGTGTGAGGGTGTGTGAGGGTGTGTGTGAGGGTGTGTGAGGGTGTGTGTGGGGGTGTGTGAGGGTGTGTGTGAGGGTGTGTGTGAGGGTGTGTGAGGGTGTGTGAGGGTGTGTGTGAGGGTGTGTGTGTGTGTGTGAGGGTGTGTGTGAGGGTGTGTGAGGGTGTGTGTGAGGGTGTGTGTGTGAGGGTGTGTGTGAGGGTGTGTGTGTGTGTGTGTGTGAGGGTGTGTGAGGGTGTGTGTGTGTGTGTGAGGGTGTGTGTGGGGGTGTGTGAGGGTGTGTGAGGGTGTGTGAGGGTGTGTGAGGGTGTGTGTGTGTGTGAAAGGTGGAGCAGAAAACATGTTTCTGCTCAGGCCGAGCCAACCCTGAACAGTTACATTTTTTACTTTGTTTTTTAGGGAGTTGTCACGTATACAATACAATACAATACAAAATTACACTTGTAATTGGGATATGGGCAGGTGGAGGGGAGAGAAGGTAGGAGGGTGGCCAAAGGCATGGTCGAAGAGAAGTCTTGAAGGAGGCAAGAGAGGGAGCAAGGCGAAGGGAATGTGGGGTGGAGTTCCAGAGGGTGGGAGCAGAGAGGCTGAAGGCTCGAACGCCGATGGTGGGGACATGGAACAGGCCAGAGACTGCTGAGCAGAGGGAGTGGACCAGTTGATGAGGGATTAGCAGGTTGGAGAGATGGGGTGGGGTGGGTATGGCCACGGAGGGCCTTGAAGATGAAGATGAGAATTTTGAACTCGATCCTCTGAGGGATGGGGAGCCAGTGGAGCCGGGCGAGGGTGGGGGTGATGGCGTCACGGAGCCTGGTGTGGGAGAGGACACGAGCTGCATCCGTACACTTGAATTGTACTTCCAGATACAATTGTCATCATTCTTCCACGTATTTAAGCTGTTGGTCAGTGACACTGTAGAAAAGTTCGGTGTCCTGTAGTGTAGTGGTTAGCGAGCTCGCCTCGCAAGTGAGAGGACCCAGTTAATTATTCCCAGCAGTAAGCAGGAACCCGGTTACTAATCGATTGGCGGATCACTTTTCCGGGGGGTTAATCATTCCTTCCGAAAAAAAGAATAATAATTTGGTCACTTCGATCCACGACTGTTTGCGGGACGGCTGCCGTTCGCAATTTGTTTGTTGATTCCCCGGATGGCTTTTGCGGATTTAATAATGCCTCCCCCCCCCACCACCCCAAAAAAAAGATAAAATTTGGTCGCTTCAACCCACGACTGTCTGGGGGGGGACGTCGCTGTGTGCGATTGGCCTTTCGTCCCAGAAAACACAGTCCGTTCACTTTACGGTGTATCCTGCGAAGCGCTTTGAGACGTCTCGAAAACTATATCAAATGCAAGAATTATTATTATTATTATTATTATTATTAATTTCGGCCACAGATACAGTGATAAAAATGGCAACGCTGTGTCCAGAACTGATAGGACGACAGTCAGTCACTGTGACTGTGATCAAGTGCTTGGGATCAGAGCAAATTGAGACCAAACGGATACAACAACAACAACAACAAAAGCATTTATATTCCTCCTTTCACGTCGGGAATACCAAGGGTTAAACTCAGGATTAAATCAGCGTTAAGCCTTTAAATCAGGGTTAAACCCTTAAAACCCTTCGCCTGGGCTTTAGTGTGCGTGTGAGTGAGTGAGAGAGAGAGAGAGAGAGAGAGAAAGAAAGAGAGAGAGAGAGAAAAAGGCCAAATAAAACACAGGCTCTTTTTTTTTAAAAAAAAATAGAGATTAAAATCGCTTTGCCTCCTTAAGGCGGGGTTTATGTTAAGCGATGGGGAAAAAAAAACTATTTCCTGCTTCTTGTCGCCTCCTCGTATTTTAGCTGCTGATCGCAAGCCGAGTGGGGCAGTGTGTGAGTGAGCAAAAGATCTGCTCCAAAACCTCGCTCTCTCTCTCTCTCTCCCTCCCTCCCTCCCTCTCGTCTCGTCTCGTCTCTCTCGCTCCCTTTCTCCCTCTCCCTCTCCCTCTCCTCCTCCTCCACAACCAGAGGTCCATGTTCAATGTGCACCATCAGCAACAAGATCAGCTGAGCAGCTGAGAGCTGCAGTGAGGGCTGCGAGGATGGCAGTGGCAGACAGGCACTTGCTCCACCAGCCTTCTGTGCCATCGTCGTTATTATTATTATTATTATTATTCTCGCTCTGGATCCTGCCCGGCGAGCAGGCGGCACGGGCAGCGGACGCGGACAGCGGAATGAGCGGCATCTCCACCGAGAAAGAGGCGGAAGAGAGTCACAGGCAGGACAGCGCTAACCTGCTGCTGTTTATCCTGCTCCTCACGCTCACCATCCTCACCATCTGGCTCTTCAAGCACAGGCGGGTTCGCTTCCTGCACGAGACCGGCCTGGCGATGATCTACGGTGAGACACAGGCTCTTTAGTAACCTTGGCCGTTTCCTCTGGGCTTTCCGCCTCTTTCGGCTTCTCGTAGAAGCGTAGACATTATCGTATTCCTTCGACGGTAATCGTGCAATAATCCTTGCCTTCGGCGTAGCGCCCTATCACGCCTTCGAGACGTCTCGAAGCGCTTTTATCCGTCCCCACCCCCACCCCCCACCCCCCCTCCCACGTCCATTACCGTTCTGTTAAATGGTATATGTGGGCACTGGCCTTCTGCTCGTACCTCGTGCCCTTGGTGCCACCACTATGCCCGAAACTCTGACGCGCTTTCCCTCAAACCCTCCGCCTTGCCCCCTCCCTCCCCCCCTCCCTCCCTCCCCCACCCCCCTCGCCTGCCTGAGCGGGCTGCGTAAACGCAAGTTGCCGTCGTCGTCGAGTAAAATAATAATAATAATTAACAATAACAATCCTTGCATTTGCTACAACGCCTAATCCCTCCGTTGAGACGTCTCAAAGGGCTTCACAGAACGATACTGTAAAGTGGAGTGACTGTGTATTTTTGCAGGGGAAGCGTGGCAGCCAATTGCGCACAGCAGCGTCCCACAGCCAGATTGAGTGACCGATTTTTTTTGTGTGTGTGGCGTTCTCTCCGGTTGGTTTGGATTACTATTAAGCACGGTGCTGGGTTTCCGCATGTGTCGGACAGACACCCCCGGCCGACCGGAACAAAATGTATTCTTAACGTATAATTCCTGCGTTTGATATAGTGCCTTTCACGTCAGGAAAAGACCTTTCAATTTGCCGTGGTGCGTGATTTAATTAAACGCCGTGTGTACCTGTTCGCTGTGATAAATTATACCGGCGTTCATTAATGGTACGTCCCAAAATTTAACCCTCCCCTTCCTCCCAATCCCTGTAATGCCGGTTTCTGTTCAGTGATGATTTAAGTTATTTAATGCGGCTCTTATCAGCTTAGAATACTCTTGGTTCTGTTTCGTCTCGTTCAAATTTAACACCAACTTCACATCTGCTCGTTACCCCTGTTGTTTATTATAATAATCCTTGGATTTGATATAGTGCCTCATCACGTTGCTGAGCTGCCTCAAAGCTCCTCGCAGACTACATGGTGTTTACAACAACAACAACAACAACAAGATTACATGTGTATAGCGTCTTTCATGTCGGGAGGACGTCCCAAGGCGCTGGACAGTGTACAGCATTTCAGCCCCGAGCTGGGGTCAGGGGGTAGAAGGGAGGGGAGGGAAGGGGAAGGGGGGTAACCAATGACATGGTCAAAGAGGAGGGTCTTGAGGCGGGACTTGAAGGAGGCTAAGGAGGGGGTGAGGCAGAGTGATTGGGGGATGGATTTCCAGAGGTTGGGGGTGGAGTGGCTGAAGGCTCTCCCGCCAATGGTGGGGCGGGTGGGTTGGGGGACGTGGAGCAGGTCAGAGCCGGCTGAGCGGAAGGAACGGGCGGGTTGGTAGGGGGTTAGGAGGTCGCAGAGGTAGGGTGGGGTGAGGCCATGGAGGGCTTTGTAGGTGAGGACCAGGATCTTGAACTGGATCCTCTGAAGGATAGGAAGGATATGGAATCGGATGAGAGTGGGAGAGATGGGGTCACGGAGTTTGGTGCGGGAGAGGACATGGGCTGCAGAGTTCTGGATTATCTGCAGCTGTGGAGGGAGGGGTTGGGAAGGCCGACAAGCAGGGAGTTTGCATAGTCGAGCCTGGAGGTGATGAAGGCACGAACAGAGTTTCAGCGCCTGAGGGGTGAGGTAGTGGCGGAGTCGGGTGATGTTACGGAGGTGAGGCTTGAATGTGGGGGAGAAAAGACAGTTGAGGGTCGAACAAGACCCGCAGGTTCCTGACTGGCTGGTGAGTTGAAGTGTGCAACCATGGAGGTTGATATTTCCAGAGCCTGAGGTGCGGAGACGCTGCGCGAGCTGATCAGGAGGGCCTCAGCCTTGTTCACATTCAACTGTAGGAAGTTTGCCGTCATCCAGGACTTGATGTCCGACAGTCTGTCAGGACAGCAGTGCTCCTGGAGTTGAGGGTGGGGTCAGAAAGATAGAGTTGGGTGTCATCCGCAACATATGGAAGTTGACCCCATGTCTGCGGATGATGTCCCCGAGGGGGAGCATTAGATATTAAAGAGGAGACAAGGACAGAGCCCTGGGGGCACCAGACGTGACAGTGCGGGGTCTGGAGGAGAAACCTTTAGAGGCAACAAAGTGGAGACGGTAAGAGAGATAGGAATCGAACCAGGCAACGGCAGGTCCGCGAAGATTACGTAAGGAGGAGAGGCAGTGTATGAGGATGGAGTGGTTGACAGCGTAGAATGGGACGGTAGAGATGGGGCGGTAGCTGGAGTGTAGGAAAGGGTCCAGGGAAGGTTTTTTTCAGGATGGGGATGATGACGGCTGTTTTTAGGCTGAACCGGTTGACAAGGAAAGGTTGATGATGTCGGACAGGAGAGATGGAGCTGGGAGAAGAGGAGAGAGGTGGGGATGGGATCGAGGGAGTAGGTGGTGGGTTTGAGTTTGCGAACAATCGCGGAGAGGGAGGAGGGAGAGATAGGGTCGAAGGAGTATAGGTGGGGATGGGTGCGGCGTGGGTCATGAGGGAGAGGTGATGTGGGGATGGCTGTGGTCGGGCCTGAACGTATCCCCTTGATTTGGGTTTCGAGGAAATCCAGCATCTCCTCACAGCTGGAGCTTGAGGAGAGGATGGGCGAGGCGTGGCAAGGTGGACGGAGGAGATGGTTTGTGGTGGAAAAGAGGGTCCTTTGCCTCCAGGATGAGCATTAGCAAAGTACGGCCAAGCTCCCTTATTTTTGCTTTATCTTTTTGCGATGGTTTATTTTATGTGAAAGGCATTGTGTTACTTGTGCGAGCTGTTCTGAATTGAATTGTCGCATGTGTTCTTTCCCGGTAATCCAGCTAGGACAGGACCACGTCGTGTGTGTGTGTGCGTGGTGTGGGGAGGGGGGAGGGATGGGGAAATATTGAGAACTGTCGCTCTCTCACACTCGTCGCTTTGATTGTTTATAATAATGATAATAATTATTATCTCAGCAACATCTGCGATGCACTACCCTGTGCTGAGGGCCACCATGGTTTGGACAGCTCCCCCAGAGGAGAGCGAGCTCCATCTCGACCGGGGGGAGCTTCTTCGAATCATATCTGTCAGTCTCTGGGTTGGTTAGAGTTCAGTCAGCAGTTTGTTGCTGTGTGTCGGTATTGCAGTGTTTTATATTGAAATGTTAAGTCACGATGCTACCAGATTTGCTCCGGCGTTTCAGCCACCTTTGCCCTTTGGACCAATATGTTCTTGTAGTTAATGATTTCTCTCTCGCTCTCGCTCTCTCTTTCTGGGTCCTGTTTGCAGAGAACAGTGCCTTTAGATCAGGGTGGTTGGTTGGTCCAACCTCTTGGCTGCTGAGGGCTGGATGCCCTGTTTGATAAACGCCTGTGGGCCGTACAGGCAACATATTTGTGTTTCCTTTCCAGAAACATAACATTTATGAGTTACGGAGGAAGCGTGCGGGCCAGATGAAATGGAGGGAGAGCGGAGAGGGAGGGTGGCAGATAAAATTGGCCCTTGGGCTTAGATTAACCCTGAAATTATGGGGGCTTCTAAAGCAATCCGGATATAGACTGCCCTGGAATGCAGTATAGAGTCCAAAATACTGGTGTGTTTGTATGTGCGGTTTCTGGCTCTTAAGTGTATATCAGTGACGAGGTCTATCTCTGTGCTGGGGCCGGGGCGGAACCCAGACTGGGGGGAAAGGTGTGTGCGAAGCTGATTTGCATCAGCGAGTTCCAGAAATTTAGCGAGGAAAGGCAAATTAGAAATAGAATAATCTGTACCTCGTGTCCTCTCCCGGATCAGACTTGTGACCCAATCGACCCCATCCTAGCCCGGCTCCACTGGCTCCCCATCTCCCAGAGGATTGAGCTTAAAATCCTCGTCCTCGCTTGCGTTTGACAACATGTGATAATTAGCACATCACATACGCATTTTTGTACCTCGCACCCTTCGCCCCACCATTGGAGGTCTCGCTTTCAGTCACTTCGGCCTGAAACTCTGGAACGCTCTCTCTCAATCCCTCTACCTTGCCCCCTCTCTCCCCTTTTTTCAAGTCCCACCTGAAAACCTTCTTTTTCGACCGTGATTACGGGCCCCCCCCCCCCCGCCCGCCCGCCCCCACCCTGGCTCGGAGTCAGGCTAAGCCACGGTTAAGCGCAGTCGTTGTTATTTTTGTGGCTCAGTCAACAATGGTGGAACGGAGGGCACGATGGACAAGTAGGAGGCAGGAGCCAGTCGAGCGGAGCCCATGGGCTGTGGGTTGGGGGGGGATTAGCAAGTCAGAGAGAGAGGGAGGTGCCAGGGCATGAAGGGGTTTGAAAACGAGTGTGAGGATCTTGAAATCGATCCGTTCGGCGATAGGGAGCCAGGCGGTGAGGGAACGGGAGAATAACGATCAATAATTAATAATTATTATTCATTTTTTGAAGCTCCAATCTGGTAATTCTTACTGTGGTTAGATAGAACTTTCTCTACACTAACTGGATGTGGAGCGTCCCACAATAATTCTCCTTGCGTTTGGCACAATGTGATAGTTAGCGGGTTAGCGGGATGGGTTACTGTGATTGGGGAAGTGAGGGGGTTTTGACCAGTCTTGCAGAAGTTGGGGTTCTGGTCTACCTGCAGAATTTCCAGTGCCAATATTTCCAGCACATCCTCATAAAGAACACATCTGAAACCAGCTAAGAGTGCCTCTGAGGTTAGTAATAATAATAATAATAATCCTTGCATTTGATATAGCGCTTTTCACGTCGGGAGGACGTCCCAAAGCGCTTCACAGAACACACTGTAAAGTGAATTGACTGTATATTTGTGGGCGAACGCGGCAGCCAATTGCGCACAGCAATGTCCCACAAACAGTCGTAGATTGAAAATGACCAATTTATTATTGTTTTTGGTTTTGGAGGGATTATTATTAGGCTCTGTGTGGAGTAA